TGCCTGCTGGCTGCCTGCCCCTGCCTGCTGCTGCCTGCCCCCACCGCCTGCTGCTGCCACCGCCTGCTGCTGCTCCTGCCTGCTGCTGCCACCCGCCTGCTGCTGCTCCTGCCTGCCCGCTCGCACCTGGAGCGACTTCCCCAGCTGCGCCAGGCCTCGCTTGGTGGCGCCATAGGCGGCAAACCGCGGCGTGGCGTTGCCGTCGGCGCCTGCAGGGTCGGCGTGCCGCACGCAGCGCATCAACAGCTGGGAAGAGCGGGTGCAGCGCAGCAGGACATCTGCCCAGGCAGCAGGCCCGGCCGCGCCCGCTCCTCCTCACACCCTACGTTACCAAGTGCCTACTCCTGCCTGCCACCTGCCGGCCACCTGCTGCCGCGTCTGCCCTGCCCCTGCCCCTGCCAACACCCCACCCTCACCCACCCGCGCCGTCCATGTTAAACTGGAGGCAGGGAGGGAGGAGCAGAGGACCACGATTGGCGGTTGCGCGCTGTGCAGGGGCTCAGCTGCCGGGGCTGCAAAGGCACTGGCTGGCCGGTGAGCCTCAGCCCCAGCAGGGGCACATCCTGCCAGCCACCTGCCCCCTGCCCCAGGCCTGCCCCAGGCCTGCCACGGCGCCAGGCAGGCAGGCGGGCAGGCGGACGTCGCGGCATGCTCTGGCATGCTCCACAGCATCCCCACACAGCATGCTCAGCATGCACAGCAGGCTCAGCGTGCGCGGTGGGTCACTCACGATGTGCCCGCCGCTGGGCTGGTCCTTCATCACCCGGATCGCCTCCTTGCACCCTGCAGCGCAGCGCAGCGCAGCGCAGCTCAGCGTTGAGCCTCCACCGGCGATGCCCAGGAGGCAGCGGAGCCGGCTGAAAGCAGCACAGCCGCCAGGCAAGCAGCCGCGCCAGGCATACAAGCAGGCATGCAGATCACGTGTCACATTCTTTTCTAACTTTCTGTTCCCGCGCCACGCACTCAGCAGGTGCAAAGGCAAAGCGCAACCACCACAGCGCACCCAGCATGACGCCAATCACGTTTGTCTCGATGATGCTGATGATGTCCTCGTTGTCCTGGGAGGCCAGCGGACCCACCCGGTACGCGTTGGTGCCCGCATTGCTGCAGGGCAGCGAGGCGCGGCGCGACGCGGGACAGCGGCGGCGGCTGTCGATGCTCCGCCTGCCGGACGGCGCCGGCTGCAACTGTAACAGTGATAATGCACGCTGTTCGCTGCCCCTCCTCCCTTGCCCAGCAGCAGGTGGAGGCAGGGCAGCGAGGAGGCAGAGCGGCAGCAGCAGGGCGCAGCAGGCGCGGCCGCGCGCGGCAGGGCGGCAGCAGCAAGGAGAGGCAGGCGCAGCAGGGAGCGGCAGGGCACCCAGCCTCACTTGATCCACATGTCTACTGTTCCCATCTGCGCCTTGGCAAAGTCTGCCAGCGCCGCCAGCTGGTTGGGGCGTGCGACGTTGCACGGCATGCCGTGCACGCTGCCCCCGCCCAGCGCCGACAGCTCCCCCACCGCCGCCGCCACCGCGTCGCCTGCGGGGGCGTGGGGAGGGGCGGGGCGGGGCGGCTGGGACGTGGGGGAGCGCGGCGCGGCGCACGCCTCGGGCATGCCTGCCGTGCCGTGCCGGCCGGCTCGATTTTGCAGCAGCACGCGAGCCCAACAACAAGAAACAAGGCGACGAGCATGAAAATAACAAAACAAAAAAGCGAAGCTTCCCCGGAGCGCACCGTTGCGGCCGCAGATGACGACGTTGTCTCCCGCCTGCACAAACCCCGCCGCCAGCGCACGCCCCACGCCCTTGCTGCCGCCCGTGATTACCACGTTGTAGGGTGGCACGATGTCCCCGCCTCG